CCACTCACCTCAGCCTCCCAAAGGCGCAGGATTACAGGCTGAGCCACCGAGTCCGGCTTCACAGAATTTTTATGAAGCCAGAATAAAGTATGGAAAGATACTTTATTAACTTTGTACACAAATATAAGGCATTATTTTTACTATTGTTATTTGCATTAAGGGATTTCACTTCTTTTTTTTTTCTTTTAAGTTGGAGTCTCAATCTGTTGCCCAGGCTGGAGGGCAGTGGCATGCTCACGGCCACCACAGTCTCAACCTGCTGGGCTGAGGTGATCCTTCCACCTCAACCCTCCAAATAGCTGGAACTACAGGCACACGCTACCACACCCGGCTAATTTTTTGATTTGTTGTATACATGAGGTCTCACCAAGTTTCCCAGGCTGGTCTAGAACCCATGGGCTCAGGCAATCCTCTCACCTCGGCCTCCCAAAGTGCTGGCATTATAGGCGCGAGCCACTGTACCCAGCTGGGATTTCACTTCTTAAAGTAGAAAGAATACTGTAATGAACCCTCTTAAAAAGCATTATCTAGATTCAATATTTATCAGGATTTTGTCAAAGTTGATCAATTTAACCTTTCCTTCCTTCTTTCCTCCTGCTTTTCTTCCCTTGTTTCTTTCATTTTACTCTCCTCTCCTTCCCATTCATTCTTCTCTTGCTATGACAATTAAAAAAAACTCAAGACAACATGATTTTTCAGCCCTACATCTGTATGTGTATGCACTTTCTTTAAAAATGTAGACGTTTTGCCTACATAACCACAGTGCAGTCCAGTCACCTGAATGGTAACAATAATCCCTTGATAGCATCACCTACTGGCCTACATGCAGACTTCCCCCAGTGCCTCAAAAATGACTTTTCACAGTTTGTCTTAAGTTTTCTCTATGTCTACACTGACATAATGGAAGCAAACTCATGGTGGCTATTTACATATGTAATCCTGATCTTAGAAAAGGAAGGCAAAAATGAAAGATAGCTCCTAGCTATCTATTAACTACTGGTGGTTTGATGTGCTGATAAAAGTGATTTTTTTCCCCCACATTCACTGCCCTGTCTTAGGACACCATAGTTCCTTCAGGTTTCTTCCAGGAAACCAAATCATTTGCACACTAAGTCCCAGTCCAGAGCCTGGAACAATAGGTCTTTTTGCTATAACCAGGTGTCAAGGGTAAAATTCCATGAGTTTCTTTAAGTCTTGCCCAATATATTTAGCCATCATGGTCAAAAAACCTGTAGAATCAGTGCTGTTCATGGCTCCATGTGGTAAACCACAAATGACACACCATCCTAAATTGATAATGATTTCTTTCGTCTACATAAGACAGCCTGGGCTCAAACTTTAAAAGGCCTATTTCTTACTGTTGCATTTTGTGTAAACATCCTTCAGAGAGGAACTTAACATGAACTTCTTTATCCTTGTTATGATCAGAAAAAAGTTTACTTGCTTTCAGTCCATCTGATGATCAAAGCAAAATATGATGTGCTAATTTTCATTGATCTTCAGATGTTTCAAGTTTTAGTTTGATCCCCACCTCTTGTAAGAAGTCTTCTCAGTTTACCCAGCCAGATCACAGGACTCTCCTCCTCTGAGCTATTATTGCACTTAAAATGGGACCAAGTCATTGGATTCCAATCACACATTGCCTTGGTTGTGAGTCACCTTGAAATGTATGGAAGCACAAATACATAGGTATATATACATGTACGTGAGGGAATGGAGTTTGTATGTGTACATATGTGTATTTTTGTGATTTCTCAGACTGTAAACTTGCACTTTATTTATTTATTTATTTTTTGAGTTGGAGTCTCACTCTGTCGCCCAGACCGTGAGCGTGCCACTGCACTCCAGCCTGGGTGAAAGAGTAAAACTCCAACTCAGAAAAAAAAGAGAGAGAAAGAAAAAAAAAACCTTCCAGATAAAAACTTTGGTTGTCCGTTTGATCCAGAGGAACAAATTTTGGGGGTGTACCACAAGGGGCCCACCCTCCAAAAGATAATACCGGGTTTGGGGGGGTACCCCTTTATATTATGGATATGTAAATGACTGTTCTTAGAAATTATACACTGAACTATTTAGGTTGAAACATGTAGAATTGGCAAAGGGGGCATGGTATACCTCTTTCTCCCCAAATCTTGACTGAATGAAGATTTTTGAACATTTTAGTGAATTTGGGCCAAATTAGTCTTAACTTTCCTCAACACTGCAGGCTAAAATATCATGGTATGTTCAGAGCTTAAGCAACTCTTGTGACAGCCACATGACAAGACACAAGATGCCTGGGTCCCATGACAGGCATCCCTTTCCATAATCACATTTTTATCTCTCAAGAAGCTTTAAAGGATAAATAACCCCTTAGACATCCTTGAAGGAAATAATTTGTTTTAATAAATCAACTTATTACTAGTGAATATTTGCCTCAGACTGAAGCTGGGTTTTTCAAATAGGGGGCTATTCTACAAAGTATGACTTTAAAAGGGGTCCAGTTTTTAACATAGCCAGCTTTCTCTCAAACCAGGGTGACGTTATCCCTAGAGAGTAGGGGACAGTGTCAGCTAGACAATTGATAGCCAGCTGTCAAGATACCAGCATTAGAGGATGGTTACTTTTAGGTGTCAACTTGACTGGACTAAGGATTATTTAGGATTCCTCCTTCATTTAACTTAACAGACATGTTTGGTTTATTAAATTAATTAAATAAACCAACAAAATCATGTCCCCCTTTTCTCCAGGACACTTTTATTGTGGTAAAGGATTATTTCTAGGTATATCTGTGAAGGTGTTTCCAGAAAATATTGGAATGTTAGTCAGTGGTCTGAGTGGCCTCAATGTGGAAGAGAACCATCCAATCAGCTAGGGGCCTGGATATGGTAAAAGGCAATTTCCTCTCCCCTGGAGCTGGGATATACTCTTCTTTCCTGTTCTTGGACATTAGAACTTCAGATTCTCCAGCTCTTGAACTCTAGGACTTACATAAATGACCCTCTGGGTTCTCAGGCTTTTGGAATCAGAGAGTTATAGCATTGGCTTTCGACCACTGCAGCCTCGACCTGCTGGGTTCCGGCGATCCTTCCGCCTCAGCCTTCCAAGTAGCCAGAATTACAGGCATGCGCTACCACGCCCGGCTGATTTTTTTTATTTATTGTAGCGATGAGGTCTCACTGCCCAGGCGGGTCTCGAACCTGTGGGCTCAGGCAATCCACTCACCTCAGCCTCCCAAAGGTGCAGGATTACAGGCTGAGCCACCGAGCCCGGCAGGAATTGCTTTTTTCAAAAAAGAAAAAATGAATGGGTATGAGGCCTCCTTTCATGAAGTGACAACCTGAGTCACCATCAACAGGCTGTGCACATTTCAGGGGTTTTCCAAGTTACTCACAGGGAAAAAAAGCTGACCACTCAATGTTGATCCATTACCCACCAAATTCTTCTCACTGTTCTCTCTTTTGTTGAGAGATTAGAGTAGTAGGAATCATTTCATCCCAAATGTCCTGCAGCTTCACAGGAAGCACAAGAGGACTCCGTCAAGGTAAAAAAGAGGCTCTTCTCCCTTTTTTTCCTCTTTCTCCTCCCCAACCTCAGTGCAAAAGAGCATATTATTGGGCCTTCTCCAGCACAGCAACCATGCCTTAACACATATTTTGCTCATTCAACATCATCGAGAAGACCCCAGTTCCTACTGATATAACAATGAATGGGAATCTTTTGGTTTAGTGCTACTCAAAGCAATTATTCTGAGCATGTTCCAGAGTAATTGTTCATTGAAACTTTTGTTTTGCTCATTTTCTGCCAGAATAGAAAACCACAAAAACACGATGGGGGATGGAGGGTTCAGGAGGCCACAACCACTTTTTTTTAAAGCATTATGTTTTTCTCTGCAGAATCTTTGCTTTGAGCAATGTGAGGCTCCTTTAAGGTAGTTTTATATTTAAAGTACTTACTTAAGGCAAAGAAGTGGTGGCTTATGTCTATAATCCTAGCGCTTTGGGAGGCCAAAGCCAGAGAATCGCTTGAGGTCAGGAGTTTGAGATAAACTTGGGAAACAGTGAGACTCCTCTCTCTACAAAAATAAAAAAAAATAGCGAGGCATGGTCATGCATGTCTGTAGTCCTAGATACTCAGGAGGCTGAGGAGGGAGGTCTACTTGAGCCCAGGAGTTCGAGGTTATAGTGAGTTATGATCATGCCATTGTACTCCAGCCTGGGTGACAGAGTGAAACCCTGTCTCTAAAAGAATTTAAAAATTTTTAAAATAAAAAATCTTACTTGAGAAAACCATGGTTAAATAAGAAATTATTACAATGGCTACAGATAAGTTATCATATTTACACCAGACTTTCCAATCATGGAAGTTAACTGACAGTTTCACAGCACTCATATATTCCCAATATGAAGAAAAGCTTTGTTTTCTTCGGAAAGAAAGCACTTTTTGCAATGTTATATGCTACTTTTAATTCCTCTCCTCTCTCCTTTCTTTTGGTGTCAAACATCAGCAAAGAAGTTGCCTGCATGTGGGACATCTGCACAGAGAAGAAGGTTATTGCTATCACATAGGCCCCAGTTCCTGGGGAGGTAAGGAAAATTCAGCAGCAGCAGTACACCCATGCACCCATAGGGATCCACTGGCTAAGAAGAGCCCTTTTCCCAAAAGAGGACATACAAGAGGCCAAAAGAACATATGAAAAACTGCTCAATATCACTGATAATCAGATAAAGGTAAATCAAAATCATAGCAAGATACCATCTCATGCCAGTCAGAATGGCTATTATTGAAAAGTCAAAAACAACAGAGGTTGGTGAGGTTGCAGAAAAAAGAGAACACTCATACACTGTTGGTGGGAATATAAGCTAGTTCAGTCCCTGTGGAAAGCAGTTTGGAAATTTCTCAAAGAGCTATAAGTAGATATACCATTTGACCAAGCAATCCCACTAATGGGTATATACCCAAAGAAGCATAAATTGTCCTCTCAAAAAGGTACCTGCACTTGTATGTTTATTGCAGCACAACAGCAAAAACAGGAAACCAACCAAGGTGCCCAGCAACCATGAACTGGATTTTAAAAATATGGCACACAGCCGGGCTCGGTGGCTCAGCCTGTAATCCCACCCCTTGGGAGGCTGAGATGAGTGAATTGCCTGAGCCCATGGGTTCGAGACCCGCCTGGGCAACTTGGCTTCATCTCTGACTTCATCTCTACAATCAATCAATCAATCAATAAAAACTAGCCGGGTGTGGTAGCGTGCACCTGTAGTTCCAGCTCCTTGGAAGGCTGAGGTGGAAGGATCGCCGGAGCATAGCAGGTCGAGGCTGCGGTGGCCAGGAATGGCCACTGTACTCCAGTCTGGGCGACAGAGTGAGACTCCAACTCAAAAAAAAAAAAATATATGGCACACAAGTTTTTCACTTTAATGTGGCTTCATTTGTCACTCTTTTCCTCAATGGCTTGTGTTCAATAGATCTTAAAAACAAAACCCTACTTCCTTTAATCTAAAGGATTTAGAGTTTTACCTTTACACTTGAGGTTTACTTAGCAGTATACTATCCTGCCTAACAATATTGCATTATATACTTAAAATTGCTGAGGGTAGATCTTATTTTAAGTGTTCATACCAAAAAAATCAAAGAAAAAGCTCAATAACTGTAATAAAGGGGATTAAACATTTGATCATGATGGATATGTTTATGGCCTTAATGGTGATGATGGTTTCACAGGTTTATACATATCCCCAAACTCAGTGAGATATATACAACAAATGTGTACAGCTTTTTATATGTCAAACATACCTCAATAAAATGGTATAAATAAATAAAATTTAAAAATAAAATAAAAATGTTGCACATATACACCATTAAATATTACGACAGTCATAAAAAACAACATGGATGCAGCTGGAGATCATCATTCTAAGTGAATTATCACAGAAACTGAAAACTGAATGTCGCATGTTCTCACTTATAAGTGGGAGCTAAACACTGAGTACACACTGGCATAAGGGCAGGAACAAGAGACACTAGGGATTCCTAAAGCAGGGAGGGAAAGGAGGTTAGGATGGAGAAAACACCCATTTGGTACCATGCTCACCACTGGTTGACAGGCTCAATAGAAGCCCAAACCTCACCATCACACAATGTACTCATGTAACCAACCTGCACTTGTACCCCTTGAATCTAAAAGAAAGAGTCCTTTCCCCCTTTATCCCCCTTGTCGGTCACCTTGTGTGTGGGTGTATGTTGTTTGTTTTAAAATAATCTTTTAGAGAAAGTCCCAGAAACCAGCATATATTCAGTCTGGAAATTAGTCCCTTTTTCTTGATAAATTTTGTGCTATTTTCTCCATTTATTAATAAAGTATTTAGGGATTTGAGGATACAAAAAAAGGCTTAAATAAATTATTATTATTATTATTTTTAAAATCACTTCTTTATTTTGTTCAGTTCACAATTTAAAACGGATTCAGCCAGGGTGACCAACAGGAAGAAGTTTGTCCCAGTTCAATGAATACAGAACAATGTTAGTAGTGAAAAATCTCACCATGTTTTTCTGCAGGGTTGCTGGTCAGTTTTTTTGCTTTTTGTTAGTATGCTTGTTTTTGCTGATTACAGCGTGTATACCATATCTTTTGACATACAATAAGTTTAAATCAAAATGCAGTCAAATCTTTAACTTTATGACTTTTGCATTTTGGCATTTTATAAAGGGCCCTTTCTTATGGTTATAACTATATTCTATTTTTCCTAATTATAATTTTCTTATGGTTTTTTGAAAATAAATTTATCTATTTAGCTCTTTGGTCCATTGAGGATTTCAATGATTAAGAGTCATCCTGGGGCTGTAAGGTACTTAAAGAAACTTCTGCCTGAAATATCTGAATCTGGCTAAAAGGAAGAGATTAGACAGGATAAATTTTTGGAATACTCCAGTACCACAAGGAAGATATCCTTCCAGAACATCAGGATTTAAAGAATTTAAGTATACGTTAGATCTCTTGTACTTTATAAGATATAAGGGGTAGGTTATGGTTTTTCACATGTGAAGAAAAAAATACACAAACGCATTTCGTATACAAATAAAATAATTTAGATTATAGCAGGGGCTGTGTTTCTAGAGCTAGAAAACCTGGATCTGTCAACTACTGTTCTTGGGAAGTCAGTTAAACACGATGCCCTAGATTCCTTGCCTATAAAAAGGGGTTAATGACATGACCTTCTTTTCTGAGGGCTGTTGTGGAAATGTAATGAGATAATTCATGAACAGTGCTTCAAAAACACATATGATATAGTAAGCCCTCAATAAATTTGAGTTATTATTAATACTATTAGCGGAGAAATTAACAAATCTGTTGTTTCTAAGTTTGCTCTCCTTACGTGACTGCTGGCACGGTGGCTTCAATAGATTTTCTTCATGCCTTGACTCCTGCTGCAGGTCCCCAGTGGAGATACTGATGATAAAAGTTGGGACAATCATGAAGCAAGCGTTATAGAAAAGCACGCCGTATTTCCCTAGCTCCTTTGGGTCCATTTTCTGTTTGGTATAGACTCCATTTGCTGCCGTGAAGATATCGTTCAGGAATACAAAGATGTAGCCTTCCAAGTTAAAAGCAAGATCAGACCCAGCTGCTATGAAAGCCCCGAGAATGATGGCAAAGACACTGACGATGATGTTCAGTGAATACTGCTTCCCAAGTATGATGGTTTCCAGGAGCAAAGTCAATGGAATGGTGAATTTCCTGAGCACGGTGAACATCGGCAGGCTTAATTTACTTGTGCTTGATAGTCCACTTATATGGTTTCCAACGTAGAGAATAGGCAGAGGAAACAGCTTTACAGGAATTTTCTTGTCAAAATCAGGGAAATGAATTATTTTATTTAGCTTGGATACATACAGTATCATTATGGTGGCAGCCATCTGTCCAATTCCAAGGACAATTGGTGATGGGAAACCATAGGTGGTCAGCAACGCCTTGTTGACCAGCACGAGGACGAAGGAGTGGTCCTGTAGAAGAGCGCGGACAGCAGCCAGGCCCCCCGGGAGGGCGGCCGCGCCGCGCCGGGCTCCGCGCCCTCGGCCTCGCCCGCAGTCATGTCCCCAATTATTTATTTATTTATTTATTTATTTATTATTATTATTTTAATCAATCGGTATTTTTTATTATGGTTTTGTGGGGTACAGTTAAGGGTTAGGTGTACAATTACGTTTCATTCAGGCACCCTGTTGATAAGAGGTGTTTTCCCATCCCCCGACAGATAGTTGCTACTGTTAATCCCATCCCCTCCCCTCATAGTTTCCCAGTACCATCAGTCATTTTCTTATAGTATTACATTGGATGTTCAAGGTCCATTATATGAGTGAGAACATGTGATATTCAGATCTTTGTTTCTGTGAGAGGTCACTCAGTATTATAGACTCTAGTTCCATCCAGGTTGCAGCGAAATTCATGATTTTGTTCTTTTTTATGGCTGCGTAGTATTCCATTATGTATATGTACCACATTTTTTAATCCAGTCCTCTTTTGATGGGCAGCATGGTTGTTTCCAGGTTCTTGCTATTGTGAACAATGCTGCGATAAACATACGTGTGCAGGTATCTTTTTTATAGAGTGATTTGTGTTAGAACTTAAGAGAGAAGATAGACAAATGGGACCTTATTAAACTGACAAGCTTCTGCAAAGCCAAAGAAACCATCAAGAGAGCAGGGAGACAGCCTACAGACTGGGAAAAAGTATTTGCCAACTCTAGGTCTGACAAAGGCTTAACATCCTGGATCTACAAGGAACTGAAACGTACTGAAAAAAAGAAAACAACCCCATTATAAAATGGGCAAAAGATATGAACAGACACTTCACAAAAGAAGACATTCGAGCAGCCAACAAACACTTGAAGAAATGCTCAACCCAATTATTTTTTAAAAGGAGCTTAAAATCTTACTCCTATTATCCTTCCCCAGGATGATTAGATTTATAAAATTTTCACACCACCAAAAGAATTTTTCAACCACACATCTGTCCCTTATATCTCAGAAAAGAAATTATCATAATCACTTGCTATTAGTTTTCATGTGTCTGATAAATTACTTCTTAGATGAAAGGCCCAGAGGCCACTCAAGTTATTATAGACTGGATTCAGAATTTTCATATCAAACTTATTGTGCCTTCAACAATTAATATCATTAGAATTATAGCTAGAATTGTCATTCACTTAAAATCAGCATAAAATGAATATAAAATAACCTTGAACCACTAATTTTTGAGGTAGTATATATGAAACTAATTTAAAAGAGTAGGGAAAAGGGAAGAGGTTACAATTTCAGTTCTCTAGGACATATTGGGGGAAATACAGCTGTAATTACCTTTCCCTTTCCATTTTTTAGCTGACATCTATTAATCCCTTACTTTTCCAATCACTGTTAAATAATTTACATAGAATGATCTTCTGTTGTTTCTCTGTATTTCTTTTTTTTAATTTTTAATTTTTTTATTTTAAAGATGTGGGGTACAATTCAGGGTTAGATATACAAATGTTCATTATGCAAGTACCCTTGTTGATGAGGTGTGCCCTCCCTCCCCCAGGCAGATTCCCACTACTGCCAATCCCGTCTCCCTGCACAACCCCCCACCCTGCAGTTTCCTGCTACTGTCAGTCCTTTTCTTATAGTATTATGATAGTTGTTCAAGGTCTGCTTATGAATGAGAACATGTGATTTTTAGTTCTTTGTTTCTGTGAAAGATCACTCAGTATTATAGACTCTAAGTCCATCCAAGTTGCTGTGAAGTTCATGATTTTGTTCTTTATGACTGTGTAATATTCCATCGTGTATAGGTACCACATTTTTAAAATCTGGTCCTCTTTCTATGGGCAGCATGGTTGGTTCCATGTTCTTGCTATTGTGAACAATACTGCAATAAACATGCATGTGCAGGTATCTTTTTCATAGAGTGACCTGAGTTCTTCCGGGTATATTCCCAGTAGGGGGACTGTGGGGTGGTATGGAAGGTTGATTTTTAGAACTTTTAGGAATCTCCACACTGTTTTCCACAGAGGCTGTACTAGTTTACACTCCCATCAACACTATAGAAGTGTTCCCTTTTTGCCACATCCTCTCCAGCATCTGTTTCTCTGTATTTCAAATTTAACTTAATGTCTTGTATTTTTATTTGGTAAATATTACAGTTGTGAAGACATTGTCAGTTGTTTTTGATATATATATATATATTTGTTTGTTTGTTTAAGAGATGCAATTTCCCTAGGTTGCCTTAGGCTGGAGTGCATTGGCTATTCACAGGCATGATCCCACTACTGATCAGCACCGTAGTTTTGAACCACTTCGATTCTGACCTGGGCCAGTTAACGGTTCCTTAGCCAATTTGGTGATCCCCTGCTCCCAGGAGGTCACCACACTGATGCCGAAATTAGTGCCGACACTTGATCCGCGTAGCACACTACAGCCCAGAATTTCTGACCTCAGGTGATCCTCCCGCTTCAGCCTCCCGAGTAGCTGGGTTACAGGCACGCTCAACCACACCTGGCCAAAATTTTTATTTTAATTTAGGAGACTATCAGAAAAATAAATGAGCTTAGAGCCTTTACTATATATTATCCACATACACACAAGCACTTGTCACCCCAAAGTAAAGCAAGATTGATTATATTGTTGATACATACCATCAGCGAAATGCATCCTTGTGCCCAGTCGTCCTTTTTTTCAGATACTTCAAGTTCAAAGCTAAGAAAGGCAAGTGGCCTCCCTGTCCAGGGTAGACTTGGTAAGCTTTATGTGGAACTGGAAGGTTACAGAAAACCAATTTTCTTCCAGGGTTATTTACACCTATATACATAGCCCTACCACTGACTCGGGGAAGAGGTTTGTCTATGTACCCGGAAATGTTGCCAAGGTTTCCCCACCTTTGGGTCTTGCTCCGCAGCGACTCCTGGGATCCCAGGTAACCAAGAACTCCCTAGGTTCACGAGAGCGCCCCCTTCTCTCGCTTCAGCAATGGTGGCCTTGTCCAGTTCAGGGACCCTATGTGGAGACCTGGCCTTCAGCCCATGGACCGAAATATCTTTGAGCGTCAGCTGGATAACCCCACCCAAGTTCTGCATTTCGTGGGGATGGGGATGGGGGAGAGGGACATCTACTGGGGGAAAACAGTTTTCCTGGGCTGCCCATCCCAGAATGAGGAAAGGCAGTAGTCGGCATAGCCATGTCTGGAGGCAGAGAACCTTACACAATTGACCCTCCCCAGCCCTTAGGCCATGACAATTTACCAAAAGGAAATAGCAGGAAACTTTGTATTTAACGCAAAACAACAGCACCGTTTTTTTGGCAAATAAGTGATTTTTTTTTTGAGTTGGAGTCTCACTCTCTCACCCAGACTGGAGTGCAGTGGCCGCTCCCGGTCACCGCAGCCTCGCCTGCTGGGCTCCAGCGATCCTTCCGCTTCAGTCTTCCAAGTAGCTGGAATTACAGGCATGTACTACCACGCCCAGCTGATTTTTTGATTTATTGTAGAGATGAGGTCTCGCTGCCCAGGTGGGTCTCGAACCCACGGGCTCAGGCAATCCACTCACCTCAGCCTCCCAAAGGCGCGGGATTACAGGCTGAGCCACCGAGCCCAGCCAAATAAGTGATTTTAGGAGGCTTTTATTAATTAATCAACCATACAGTAAGTTAATACTTCAGAGAAGGGTCCACACTTAACTTAGTCATTTGATAATTTTGTTTTTGTCACATTGACTCGTGATGAGCCAAATCTGTATCCTCCAACAGCAAGCAAATGAAGCTGCATCTTTATCCACGGAAGGCCCACTTTACAACACAGCAAGTACTGTGCTCCAACAGAAAAGGAAAGATGCTGAAATATTATTTTGCCTAAGCGTTGTGTAGAGGACGAACAACCAGAAGGGCTAGGGTGGAGCACAGCAGAGGATGCAGTGCCACTGTAGCGTCCAGGGCCTGTGCTTAATAAACATTCTTGAATGCACTAAGCACCGGCCGGGTCTACACTTGCCCTCTAACGTGGTGGATTCTTTGCTAAAAATCTGGTGTACTGGGATTTTCTCAAGAGGCGCATTGGGTTTCTTGCAGAGTGCATCTGAGCATCCTAAGTGCTGGGCAAACCCAGACCCAAGATTCTACACCCAGAGCTCTCGATAGCACCGAGGTCTCTTATTTCAGCATCATTGCAAATACTCAGTGCAAGCCTCCTCCGAACAAATTATGTCAGCTTAATTATTAGCCCCTGCTGGATTACTGGCTGTCGGATATAAAGGGCTGGTTTAAAAGACATCTGCAAACTTTTCTCCAGGGGATGGTATGAGGTCTCTCCTCCGTCAAATCAGTTTTCAAAATCCAGCAGCTCCTTTTAGATGGGCAGGCACCACAGCAAGTTGTGTGTAGCCAGCTGAGCTGCAACATAAAGCCCTTGTTCTGCACACACGCCCCCAGGCACCCTACTTGCACCCTTCTTGTAAGCAACGTAGTTCACAGCTGTACTCTTGCGCATGCGCAAACCAGCAAGTCCCCCGCACTGCAACTGGTGGTGAAGGGAAAGCCGATGGTGGAAAGCAGGCTTGCTGTCACTTGGACCAGGCACAAGATCAGACCTGACTGCTGGCTATAGTTTCTGTCTTGACCGGGAATTACTTTGGATTTCAGCTCAGTATGCGAAGGCGCACAGTTCGTCGTCAGCACTCAGAATATGAAGCTTCAGCTTTGTTGAAGCCACGATGTCACTGTTACAGCACCCTGAGAGTCGAGGACTGGGAGAAAGCTCACGGTCAGTGCCTGAACGGTGACGAGTGCTCCAGTGAATTCCAGGAAAAGACCATTCCCTGGGACAGCCTAGTGTCCTTGTCTCTATTGCTGTCAGTTTTTGGTCCCTGACCTCCTACAGCCCGTGCACCCAGGCCTCCAATGCTTTAACTTCTCTCTTTGCTTTTCCTCCTTTCCAGATGCAATTCCTCCCGTAATCATATCAAGAGCAAACGAGGAGAGCAAAATATGGTCCAAATGTAAGCAAGTACCAGCAGCACCACTAAAAGGCTACAATGGCCTGAGAGCTCCTGGCCCCATGGACAAAGAGAAT